TGAGGCAGATTCTTACTGTGGAGGCCAGGTGGGCCTCTCTCCTCTGCCTCCCCTGTGCCAGGATTGCAGGCTGGAGTGCCATGCCCAGCTGAGACATGCTAGACTTATTTAACATCTGTTAGTCATGGGATACGGTCACTTGGCTTTAAAATGTTATCTTGACTGTGACTTCAGGCTGTGTTTTGTTTTGTGAAGAGATGGGAAAGTGCCAAGGGTGGACACCGGTCATTGCTACAACCTCAGACTCATCAAACCCTTTTTTCCGTTTTCTTCCCCTTTCATTTTTTTCCCTTTTTTCCCTGTGAAGCACTCTCCAGGTTGGAGAAATCCTCCTGCCTCAGTCTCCCATGCACTGGGAATACAGATAGAGCCACCATGTTGAGTTCTGGCGCTACTTGGATTTACTGACTCCTTATTGAGGTAGTTAGTTGGTTTGGTGTTTTTGTAACAGGGTTTTAAGTATCCCAGGCTGTCCTTGAACTTCGTATGTAGCCAAGATTGGCCTTGAACTCCTGATCCTTCTCCCTCCACCTCCCAAGTGCCCCATCATGTCTACTTCCATTTCGAATCCCGAAAGGCTGTTTTTATTCAAACTTGCACATCTTTCTTCTGCCCTCTCACCTGAGCCCCATCCAGTCACTCAGCTCTGCATGCCCTTCCGCATCAGCTCATGAGTTTATGCTCCACACACCTGCTGTCCCCTCACACCTTCATTCAGCTCTGTGACAGCGGAGATCCGATCCCTCTGCTTGTACGTGCTGTTCAGGGATGCTCAGGGCTGTTTGCCGGCTAACATCTGACCACTATTCCAGGTGCACCCAGAGCAGTGTGATCTCGTACCTGCTCCTCCCTAGCTCTACCCTGAGCCCTGAGCCGAGCGATGGTCCTGCCTCTCTGCCTGCCCTCTGTCTGGGTGGTGCTTTGGGCTCCTCCCTGTGCCCCACCCCCGTCCTCAGCTGGACAGGCAGCCCCCCCTCCTCAGGGATGCTTCTGTACTTCTTTCTGCAGACTCACCCCTCAGTGAGGAGCAGCCTTGCTCCCGTGTGTGATTCTTTGGCTGTGTTGCAGGAAGGCAGGAATCCTTTCCCTTCTGTGTCGGCCCGCTTGCTCCTCCTAGCACAGCAGGCATGCTGCAGCTGCGCCTGTCTCCTGGCTTGAAGCCTGCCTCACGGGCAGCAGGCCCCAAGTAACTGAGTGACACCTGTCCACGCAGACACGGCAGTGGCAGAGGAAAGAGCACGCTTCATTCGTTCCAAGGCTCTGGAGAGACTCAGGGAAGGTCTTAGGGTGGAAGAGGCTTCTTGGGGACAGGGCCGAGGTGTGCCCCGGGTGGGTTTGGGGCAGACACTGCCACCCTCAGCCAGACTTGATGCTGGGCAATGGCTGGGGGGAAGTCCTGGTTTTGTGAATGTGGAAGGGAGAAGGAGCGGGGTGACTGATGAGGTCAGACACAAGCGTCAGCCTCTGCAGGGCTCGGCAGTGTAGCCTCACTGCTCCTGCCTTCAGTGCCCGATCACGTGTAGGCAGCAACGGTGAGTCTGACTCAGTGATCCTTCTCTGATCCCACGAGCAATGTGCCTATGTGTGTCTGTATGTTCATACTTGTGTTAAAAACCGTGGCCAGCCCATGTGCATGCTGGGTGGCAGTGTAAAATTCAATACTGTTGGGGTTGGGTGATGGCACAGAGAAGAATCCAGAGGACAGGGAGGCAGCTGCGGGAACCTGGTGAGCAAAGCTTAGCAGAGCCAGACTGACTAGGTTTCTTCAGGAGGAGGCAGGGTGGTCAGAGTGGTGTGAGTGTGTGAGTGTGTGTGTGTGTGTGTGTGTGTGTGTGTGTGACAAAGGTAGCAAGTGTGTGTTTTCGGGGCATGAGGTGACACTCTGAGAGCCAGCCACAGCTCAGCGGGGCCAGTCACATCTGTAGGGTACCTGTTTATTTGTAACTGTTTCTGATTTACTTCATGGCTACCTACAGTGAACTGTTCATCGCAGAAAAGATGCCTGTTTGGTACATTTGAGTCACAGCAAACCTAGGTAGGCCTGCTGCCTGAGCCGTGTCAGGTTTGAGGCCAAGTGCAAGGATCCGAGGGCATCTGTGAGAGTCCCAGACCCTCTCAAGGCCTGGTTCTGCTCTGTCTTCTTGTGCTGCCCCTGGGTGGAAACCTCTGCCGCAGGGAGGCAGTTTTCCTTCTGGTCCTCTGGTGGTAGCTTTTTCCTGCATCATGTCTTTTCCCTCCCGCCTGCTCTGCCTTCCTGTTTTAGTGCAGGCTTAGCCTCCTTGGTGCCCTTCGCAGTCTTCCCTGAGCCCAGGAAAGGCATGGTTCGTCTTAGCTTTCTCCAGTATGTCTTGTGTAAAATGTGTTTTCTGTCTGTGTCGAATAGACACTGGTTCACATAGACAACAGCAACATATGTTCTCGGGAACATGGGGTCTTGTGTGGCATTCGCCTCCACCAGAAGAGTCTTTGCGACTCTGGATTTTGTCCTGTGCACACAGCACCTGTAGCCACCTGCTTGGGCTAGCGACTGCTCCAGGACATCAATAGAGCCGGCTCTCCTCCATGACCCTGTGGCTTAGCCCTCCTCCTCCTCCTTCTTAGCAGATATGCAGACAGCCTTCATGCAGGTCACAGATCACACACAGCCTGCATGCAGCTACACAGATCACAGCCTTCATGCAGCTACACAGATCACACACAGCCTGCATGCAGCTACACAGATCACAGCCTTCATGCAGGTCACAGATCACACACAGCCTGCATGCAGGTCACAGATCACAGCCTTCATGCAGGTCACAGATCACACACAGCCTGCATGCAGGTCACAGATCACAGCCTTCATGCAGGTCACAGATCACAGCCTTCATGGAGGTCCCAGATCACAGCCTTCATGCAGCTATACAGATCACACACAGCCTCCATGCAGGTCACAGATCACACACAGCCTGCATGCAGGTCACAGATCACAGCCTTCATGCAGGTCACAGATCACAGCCTTCATGCAGGTCACAGATCACACACAGCCTGCATGCAGGTCCCAGATCACAGCCTTCATGCAGCTACACAGATCACAGCCTTCATGCAGGTCCCAGATCACAGCCTTCATGCAGGTCACAGATCACAGCCTTCATGCAGGTCACAGATCACAGCCTGCATGCAGGTCACAGATCACACACAGCCTTCATGCAGGTCACAGATCACACACAGCCTGCATGCAGGTCACAGATCACACACAGCCTGCATGCAGGTCACAGATCACAGCCTTCATGCAGGTCACAGATCACACACAGCCTGCATGCAGGTCACAGATCACAGCCTTCATGCAGCTACACAGATTACAGCCTTCATGCAGGTCACAGATCACAGCCTGCATGCAGGTCACAGATCACAGCCTTCATGCAGCTACACAGATCACAGCCTTCATGCAGGTCCCAGATCACAGCCTTCATGCAGGTCACAGATCACAGCCTGCATGCAGGTCACAGATCACACACAGCCTTCATGCAGGTCACAGATCACAGCCTTCATGCAGCTACACAGATCACAGCCTTCATGCAGGTCCCAGATCACAGCCTTCATGCAGGTCCCAGATCACAGCCTCCATGCAGGTCACAGATCACAGCCTTCATGCAGGTCCCAGATCACAGCCTTCATGCAGGTCACAGATCACACACAGCCTGCATGCAGGTCACAGATCACACACAGCCTTCATGCAGCTACACAGGGATCACACATAGCCTTCATGCAGGAACACAGGGAGTACAGATAACTGGCTAAAAAGTTCACGGAGCCAAGAGGAACTTAAGCCAGTTTCTGCTGTAGAAGATTGCCAAAGTGTGCCTTGTTCTTGTTCCACTCTCTTTAAATTTTTGTTTGTCATCACCGTTTTGTGTTTGTTTAGGATAGAATCTTATTACAAAGCCCAGGTTGGCCTCAAACTCATGATTCTCCTGTCTTATCCTCCCTAGCGCTTGTATCACAGGCCTGACTTATCCTACTCGTCCCATGAGATACTAGCAGGACAGAGTTGTTCGGTAGAGTTTTGTGACGTTTTGCATACAGTGTGCCTGTTGCTGTCCAGACCCTGGACCACAGTCCTTATTCTGCCTAAGCAGCCTCTAAGACTTGAGTGGAGGATGTCCTTCCCTTCCACCAGCATGGATGTTGAGGTGCTCTTTGTCAGTAGTCGGGCAGACGCAGCTCTCAGGTCCAAAGCTGAGCAGCGTTTTCACCTCTGACAGGCCTGGCACAGGGCGATTCTGTACAGATCTTCAGGTTGCACCAGGATCTTGTAGCAAAGCATCCAGAAATGAGGTGAATGAGGCAGACACTCAGTGTAGACAGGTATTTCTTTCGCCAGAAGAGCGATCAGGCCTCGGGGGGTTGGGGGGGCTGTGGAGAGACTGCAGAGGGTGTGCCCTTACCTTGGCAAGTGTGGAAGAATGGCAGAGCCACAGAGTCAGGTGTGCCCTTACCTCGGCAAGTGTGGAAGAATGGCAGAGCCACAGAGTCAGGTGTCTCACTCTCGTGGCTCCTCAGCACTTTTGGGATGCTGCCCTTCCCGTGGCCGAGGGGACTCTGCCTCCTCAGGTTAAGTCATGGGTTTGTTCAGGGCAACATGGATGCTCATCAGAGAAGCACCTGCTCACATCTCCCCAACTCCTGGGCTCTGAGGTCCTCTGTGAGGCATGGTTGCTGTTGTGCCAGGCACGGCAGAAGGCAGTGTGTGCAGGAAGGTAACTCCACAAAAGAGTGCCAGGACCCTGCCGTCCAGTGTGGGTCTCCTCAGCGGGTCTCCTCAGTGGGTTTCCTCAGCGGGTCTCCTCTGCGAGCTCTGTGGTTACGGTTTCAGATCAGGAACTGGAGAGACACCTGGGGTCACAGTAGTGTAAAGATACAGAGCTGTCTTTTGAGGTATTGAGTGGCTTGAAGCAGAAGCCGACTCTTGCTTGTTTTATGTGTTTCCGGGTTTTGACGTGTTTCTGTTTTGGTCTGACTAGGAGGAGCCTGATCTGGTTAGTGCAATTTATGGCCGAGGGATAGCCTATGGAAAGAAGGGACTACATGTGAGTATGTGCCGGCTCCGCGCGCCACCTGCCCACGTGGCTTGCCGCACCCACGCCTCTGTCCAACTTGCTTCTCATTCACTCAGCTCTGCCAGAACACAGACGACAGAGAAGGGGGATGATCAGCCTAGGCGCCGTGGCTGGAAGGTGGCAACCAGGCTCCCCTGGCTCTTCCAGTGAGTGCTGAGCTGGCCACAGGAAAAGCCAGACACCTACTGCATTCCCAGGACATTACCCAGAATGCCACGAGTAGGATTACTTGTCACAGTAGGACCTACAGCCTGGGAACCTCATACAGTTGTGACATGTTGGATGAAAGAACATGTTTATTATTATTATCATTATCATTTTGATGCTGTTGTTGTTTGACAGGGTTCCTCTGTATATCCCTGGATGTCCCAGAACTCGTTTTGTAGACCAGGCTGGCCTCAAACTCACAGAGATCCTCCTGGCTTTGCCTCCCGAGTGCTGGGATTATATGCATTTTGCAGATAGGGAAAAATCTTTGCAAGCACAATCAAGTCATTCCTCTTTTTCTCTGAGGAAGGGGGTGGAGGCTACAGTAAGCCCTGTTCATGAAAAAGCCACCGTGCTCTAAAAGTGCTTTCTCAAGGTTGTGTGGTTTGTGCAGTGGGTCAAGGGGCACCTGAAAGACCAGCTTGCTTAGAGTGTTGTACACAAGCCTCTGTGTGGTTCTCAACTAAAGACGGTCACGGAAGAACTATCATTTATAACTTTTACATTAAAGACATCCTGCCTTTAATGTTTCATTAAATATTTCAGTTAAAACTTATGAGAGTTTAAAAGTTCTGCTCAGCAGGTACTGGCTTGGCGAAATTGATAGGACAGTTATAATTGTCCTCTCCTGAGTCACGGGGCACCTGGGTGAACTGGGCCTTGGTAACCATGGCGTAGAGGGTGTAAAACCATTCCATATGTAGGTCAGCAGGCACCAGGGCCCACACAGCCCAGAGACCAGTGCTGCTCCTGTCCCCATCTGGCCAGAGTCTGCAGCTCAGCTTGGGACTTGTTTTCACCCTCAGTGGGAACTTAAGTGTGTGTATTTAGGCATAAAATCAGCCTATGCTCACTCGAGAGCTTAGCTCGTAGAGTCAGAGTTGTGGGCTCTTGGCTTTAGCCATTTTCTTCTGTCCCTCTCTGGCAGACAGCGTGGGCCTCACTCCTCGGTGGCGCCCACATGCTCGGCCCTGCTTTAGCTAGGTAAAGTCTGCACCTGCGCACTCGTGGGTCACTGGGTGCCACTAACTCAGGGTGGGGAGACGGGGAGCTGGGCAGCTGAGCTAGCAGAGCGTTTGCTCATCTCTGATCTGTGCCACTGTTAGTGTCTCACAGATCTTGTTCTGAGCGTGTCTCACACTAAGCTAACACCTTTTCAAGGACGTTAAGAACGCTGAGCTTGCTTTGTTTGAACTGAGCCGAGTAATCGCCTTGGAACCTGACCGTCCAGAGGTATTTGAGCAGCGAGCTGAAGTGAGTCCGGCTTTCTTTTTCCCTCTGTTACTGAATTGGCTGAAATGCAGAGCGTTTTCCCGTGATTTTATCATTGAAACTTTTAATGCTCCTTTATGCTGAATTATGTTCCCACTGGACAGCTGTGGAATGATGCTCTCGAGGCATATATGAGTGATATTTAGTGTGAGCATGTGGTTCGGTGCCTTCCTCAGCGGGCTCATTAGAGAGACGGCATGCAGCGTACTGCAGACACAAATGACACGGTTTAACAAAAGTGGCTAGCTGTGGGAGACCCTGAAATATGCAGCTCTTGGAAGCAGTTGTGCCCCTGGTATGGAAGGGAGGAGAGGGAGAATGAGTGAATGGATGAATGACTGTGGCTGCGTGTGTGTACCCACGAGCTCACGTACAGTTCTTGGGAGATGGCCCTGCCTCCGCAGATGCTTGGAGCAGGGAGGTTTGCTGCAGATCTCAGGCGGAGACAGGCGAGGGTGCCTGCAGCTGTCTGCCGAGTGGGCACGAGCAGGTGGCCTGCACAGGAGGTGGGGAGAGTGCCAGGCTCGGGGTGAGGCTCTCGGGCAGCCTCGGGAGGAGAGGGCCAAGACTGCTCTGTGTTTTCAACGTTTGTGCTTTGGCAGTAGAGCTGGGCTGTTGGGGACCCGTATGCCGGTGTGGCTGGTGTGGCTGGTGTGGTTAGTGTGTTGGTGTGGCTGGTGTGAATGCAGCCAGCCTTTAGACAGGACCCTGAGTGCTCAGTCACCTCAAGACTGCATCTAGAGGTCTTGTCCTCGGGGTGCGGCATTTTCTATTTCAGCCTTTTTAAGTATTTTCATGTCGTATTTTCATGCCTTAGTTTTATTCTAACCTTTCTCAGCTCCTCACCTGCCACGCTGGGTCTCACCCGCAGACTCTGTGACTATAGTCCTGTCCCCACAGTGGGAGGCCCTTGGATAGTGGTTGGGCTCTTTGCACCAGCAGGGCAGGGCAGGCTTGCTGGTGTTCCCTGGGCTGGCTGCTGTACCCCAGCAGGTCAGAGTGGGCTGGCCGCTGTGCCCCAGCAGGTCAGAGTGGGCTGGCCGCTGTGCCCCAGCAGGTCAGAGTGGGCTGGCCGCTGTGCCCCAGGAGGTCAGGGCAGGCTTGCTGGTGTTCCCTGGGCTGGCCACTGTACCCCAGCAGGTCAGGGCGGGCTGGCCACTGTGCCCCAGCAGGTCAGGGAGGGCTGGCCACTGTGCCCCAGCAGGTCAGGGAGGGCTTGCGGATGTTTCCCTCAGGACCCTGGGCTGCCAAAATGACTCTGATAAAGTAGAAATTCAGTTAAGACTTGCAGGCTTTAAATTTTGTACATCTAAGAGAAAGCTAGTTGCTTATCTAAAGTGGGATTGGTAATTAGAACAATAACTTTCCACTATCTAAAAATACATAGCCGTATTTATGACACAGCAGCCACTGCATCGTGATTTTCACAGCTCAAGTGCAGCCTGCCTTTGTCTGTCTCAGAACTAATTTGCAGGACACTTTGCTCTTGTGCTTCTTGAATTAATATATATTTAATGAAACTGTTTTAACCCATTACTGTGGATATTGGCAGTTGTGCCAAGATGTGGGTGAATAAGCAGAGAAGGGCGATTTTCCTTCAGGTAGCCCCACCCCGGCCTGTGATCAGTTCTGGGTCACGTGTCTGTCTCTCTAGCTTTGGAAGCACTGCTAACACTTGGGATGGGCCCACCCTGAGCTGTCCCAGGCTGTGCTGAGCTGCAGAGTCCAACAGGGTGAGCACGGCCTTCCAAGTGCCCTGAATAGAGACCTGCTGGAGGGACACAGGGACCCACTGGGCTTGCTTCTGTCTCTCTGACTCCCTTCCTGGTACTGGGCCGTCACCTGTATTGTCACACTGCCTAGACCACAGTGACCCTGTGCTGGCTCTAAGGGGCTTCACACATAGGTGGACAGTTTCCACTGTGATGCTGAGTGTGGTTGGTGAGCTCGGGGCTGACAGGGTGCTGGGGTGTCAGGACCTGTCCTTCAGCTCTCACTCCCTCAGGAAGCTAGAGACCATGACGGACCGCCAGGGGCTTGTCTGTCTCTCCCTGTGGTTGAATGTGCCAGCCCTTTACTTAAAGAGTGAACGTAGCATAAGAAAAAGGGGTCCTAGCTCGAGACTCTGGTAGGCCCAGATTGGAGTCAGTAGCAAGGCAGCCGCTTGAGCCACACCCCAGCCCCCATCCTAAACAGAGTGGCCTTCTGTGTGTGCCTGAGGCTGCAGTCTGCTGCAGGGTGATTGTGAGTGGTGTGTGGTTCAGTGGCACTGGAAAATTAAGACCCTGGCAGTGTAGGGCTGGTCCTGGGAACATTCCTGATTGCGTGTTTTGGATTTCTAGATTCTGTCCCCTCTGGGGCGAATTAACGAAGCCGTAAATGATCTCACTAAAGCTATTCAGCTTCAGCCCTCCGCGAGGCTGTACCGACACCGGGGGACCCTGTACTTCATATCTGAGGTGACTGCCCCACGATGATTAGCCCACGCCTCACTTCCCCATCTCCTCAGGAGCCACCCTTCTGCAGAACAGGCTCAGTTCAGTGTCTTCGCCACAAGGCAGCTGTGACAGCACTGTCTTTGGCAGAGACTAAACATAGGGGAGAATGATGGGCCAGCCGCGTGTCCGTGTTGGTCATCAGCAGCATCACATTCTAGACTGGCACGGAAAGGTTGCAGTGGCGCATAGCTCCTGCTTGGAGGCACACCCCGAATGCATCTGCTTCTCAGCCTGAGAGCTGCCGTCTGAGCCCGTGAGGCTTCCCCACCCTTGTTTACATGACCTGAGTCCAGCCAGACTCTGTCTCTCTCACAGTGGCCCCTAGAGCACAGGTGCCTGTGAGCGTGCAGTACACTAACAGTGCATGTAGACACCAGCGAGTCAGCTCAACACGCAGTGAGGTTACACCACAGCCTGGTCATTGCACAAGTGTCCAGCGTGAGCAAAAGTGGTCTCATTGCTATTTGAAAGGACACTTTTCCTGTGGTTGAGATGGAAGGCCCCAGAGTAGGCCTCTGTGCACACCGGTTAGCAGTTAGCTGGGCGACGACTGCCAGTGTGGCTGGACGGCCTGGCTGTGGCGTTCCCTTCCAGGCCAAAAGGGCCAGGTTGCGTTGAGGTTTTCTCTCCGCCCGTCCACAGCCGAAAGCATCCAATTTCTAACAAACAGCACCTTACCTCTCCTCCTCCTTTCCCTAGGACTACGCGACAGCCCACGAGGACTTTCAGCAGTCCTTGGAGCTGAACAGAAACCAGCCCACAGCCATGCTGTACAAAGGCCTAACTTTCTTTCACAGAGGACTTCTGAAGGTGAAGCTGCCTGCGCTGCTGTGCCCGCTGCGCTGGTGGGGAGGGGCCTGAGCAGAGTTGAAATCAGGGTGGTGTGGCTGGTTTCTTAGCTGTGTGTGTGTGTGTGTGTGTGTGTGTGTGTGTGTGTGTGTGTGTGT